AGGCTCTGGATTCTGAGCGTCAACTATTCTAACTCTGCCGTCGTGGGGTTGCATACTCGCAATGTTGAAGGCGATTCTCGTTTGCGCATCATAAGTTGTAACTGGGATAATACAGGGAGGCTAAAGGCACTTTTGTGCCCCAACATAATTGTGTCACATGATCTCATCAATCATAGTTCAGGGATAATTTCATTCCAGTATAATACGAGAAAGTTTCTACTATGGCTACTCAGCAATTTAACTCATCTCCGAATAATACTCGTCGTTTGGACTAAAGTATTTAAAAAGAAACTGCTATTTCTGACCTATGCGTAGAATCACTGATCTGCATTGGGAAACTGATAGCACATACTTAGTTTCTATAATGAGTTAGAAACAATATTTCTTCACTACAAAAGTTGGCCATTTGAACTGCACTGGATAGATATGCCGTCATTTTTCTTCAATGAAAAAAAGCACTGAAATTTTTTTTTTCTTTAGCTATTATTTTGACTTAAAGCGTCCTTCCTTGTCAACAAAATTTATTTTTTCCAGGTAAATCAGGGCAAGATTGACTTATAGTCAGTTTTTGAGAGTGAACGTTGTTTTGCTTTCGTTTTTTTAACTTAAACTTCACGATAGCAAAACAACGTTCCTTTAACTCGAAAAAAGTGACCCCCCCAAAAAAGAAAAAAAAAACTACTAAAAAAACCTCCAAATTTTTTTCGACATGAAACGACACTTTAAGTCAAAATAATATCTCAAGAGAACTTTTTTTCAGTATGAGCCTTTTTCTACCCACCCCGTCAACAAAAAAGGAAATACGATAACAGACGATCTATGTAGAATAATATTCAGAGAAAGGTAATTTTCAGCTACTGATACAAATTTTTTACCGTAGTAACCCCTCAGAAAATGTCGACCCTTGATTACATTTTTGTACGAAGCGGCTATTCTTCAAAGTTTGATCATTCTTTTTCGCTTAAAGTCGACTACTTAGTTTTGTTCAATGAAGATGGAATTTCAACTAAAATCACTCTTAGGAAAATTCTGCAGTTTGCAGAGTTCCATGAAGGGATCAGCATCTAAAAATTCAATCCGCTAATCTGCGAGGGAACGCATGATGTCGTTAGAACAACCAGTACGGAAGTGAACTATTGTTTCTGTGTAAACATTAGCTGATAGCATATCGACGGTGAAACTTCCAAACCACGTATCTCGTTGACGGTGTTTAAAGAAATCCGCTACTTTATTCTTTTGACGATTAACAAATCAACAACATTTCTTGAAGTTTTCACCGAATTCCTTCGTAACGATAGGTAAAATCCCGAAAGTTTTACAGAACTGAGGTTAAGGTGTTTTCCATTTTAAAAATAAAGTATGACAGGAAGTCTGCTACTTCGCAACCCGAGGTACATGGTTTGAGATTTTCAACGTCGATAAGTACAATTCAATGTCAATAAGGAGTTTAATATGATTTTTGCGCTGAATTTATTTGATCTTTTCGATCAAATCTATTCAAAAATACGATCTTTCAATCGGCTTCAGATTTTTATTTCTCCCATTTTATTACTGAGGGCACTTGTTTGCAGCCAGTTTTTTATGTTGATTGCCTAACAAGGTTATTCTTTTTTTGTTGAAACAAGTTTCACAGAAAAGAATACAAAATGCACATCATGCGAGAGACTTAAGATTTATTTTCAATTACAGAGGTTCATAGCAATATAATAATTAAGAAATGGAAACAACTTTGAAATGCCAGCATTGGCGTGGACGTATAACATCGGCTGGAAGACGTTAGACCAGAGTAAATGATGACTCTTTTATTGAGCTAATAGTTAGACGCATTTGAAAGAAACAAGGTAAAGACTTTCCTTACTTAGAGGTATAAAGAAGGGTTGTAAATAGATTAAATGTGAAAACCCCTGATAATCAGGGAAAAAATGCTAATCGGCCAAGCAGACAATAAAACAAGGTTATTTTTGGATCCCGGTTTTGTGAAACTAGTTGCTTTCCATTATTTCGTCGTAGAATTCAGCCAGACGAAAGGGAGGAGGGACAAATAACCCCATTATTCCAGACATGCACATATTTTAATTCCCTGCAAAGTGAAATAGCGAGTTCAGCAGGTTTGGTCACAGGCCGAATACAGAAAGGATGAATATTAATGTGAATTTTCAGAGTTGTGGAAAACCACCTACTTTTATCAATATGTGTTCGGAAACGAGTTTTTCGACGTTCGAAGCACTTCCCCGCGGAAAAATCCAGTTTTGCAAATATTTGCGACACTCTTTTCTTCTTGTCAAATATAAATGGGATGAGTGCTTGTTTGACTTGATCGGGAGGTTTGGATAGGTAACGTCATGCAAAGGGAAAACCCTCAAGTTGTTCGCGATAGGTGGGGTCTCCGAGTTCTTCGAGTCACTCGTCGGCGAATGTCTGTTGCTTTATTCATGTCGATTGCGGAATTTTCGCAAACCGTAATCCCTATTACTAATCGTAAAGTAATGTTGTCAGTATTTATAGTTCACAGATTACGATAGCAGGATGTATAAGGTTTATTTCCCTTCTAATATCAGTGGCGTGGCGTGCTTTGCGGTATATCGATTGATCTGTCATTGAAACCTACGGAAAAGGATCGATTAACAGGGTGTTCGCAGCGAACACCTTAATCATCGATTCTTTACCACGGATTCAAATGAGGAAATATCGATAATCGATCATTCACGCCACGCCACTGTCTAATATCCGGGACGTGGAATGGGTATTACATAAATACAGTACACTTTTCACATCGTGATTCACAATTAATTAATTCGATTTCTTCCGGATGAACTCATGAAAAAGCAAATGCTCCACACAGTACTGCGATCCTAATTTAGCATGAGAATTCGTTTTCAAACTCATTTTTTCAGACTAAATTTCCTCTCTACATTAGATGTTAAGGAAGAAAATTGAATTTGAAAGAAAATTCACGCGATTCCTAAAATTTATGATTAATACATTTTTAGCGATGCACGGTGTCTAAAGGAAAAGGATTCTCTCTTTGCGAAAACTCAACATTGAATTATTAATACTTGAGCATGTTTAAGTGTGCTCCAACCATTTATGGACAAAAAAAAAAACGCTTAAAAATATGAGATCAACCCTAATTTATCGTGGATTAAAGTTTCCGGTTCCAAATACATTCTTTCGGAAAAAAAATTCTAAAATTGAAAATTCTGAAAATTCTGAAAATACGCCTTTTTCAAGGCGCGGCATTGCCCGGCATTAAGTAACTCTAAACGGAAAAAAATATTATGATAATTTCATCTGTATTTCTAGCTGACTTTGGCGTCAGCCAGAGGATACGGCTGATTCTCCCTGCTCAGTTATGGCTGAATTAAACACCTACAAGTTCGCTTTTCCGACCAAAATCTACATAAATTGCTCTCGCGAAACATCAATGGCCAATTCAGTGCGAAACCACGTATCTCCGTTTACGACGTTAAAGAATTCTATCACAATTTATTTTTTTCTTTGAAAACGTAGTGAACGTTATTTCTTGGAAACTTCCTTGATATTTCCTCTCCGTTAGTAGAATATTCCGGAATTAAGGCTATGAAATTGACTTGTTTCTATCCAAAAAAGTAGAATAGTATCAGACATTTAGGAACACCACAATGGAGATATGTGGTTTTCCACTTTGACCATCGATATTTGCCTCCGTAGAATAAGGTTCCGTAGACGGCTACATATTTTATACTTCAAATTTACTTTTCGTCCACTTCTCACCTTTATCCCTCTATTTTTTATCAATGCCATTGCGTGCTTTCGGATAAATCGATTGGTCTGCCATTTAAACCTATGGTAATGGATTGATAAAGAGGGTGTTCGAAAATAACACCTTAATAATCGATGCTTTACCATAGCTTCAAATGGGAGAAATATCGAAATTCGATCATTCACGCCTCCCCAATGCAGCTCACATAAAAAATGAATTCGGTTATTCGCATTGAACATTATGGTGGATCTTCAGCAATTTGGAGATTGATTCGATACTTGATCCATCAATTGGAATACATTTTGTAATTAGGAACTACAATTTCGCTCATCCGTAAAACACACGTGTCCGTCGGGAAACTAATGGTACATACGTTGTTTTTAAACTGAGCGAGAAATTGTAGTATCTAATTGCAAAATGTAGTACAATTGACAACTGAATGGATTATTATTGAATCGTCACAATGCTAGTGTAACCGTGCTTTTATTATAGATGGGATGTAGAACACTGTTTGATTTTGTCGACCAAAAATATGACAAATTGTCGCAAAATGAAATTCATTCATATTTGATCAAAACTTTACTTTCGGTGGTTACATCTTTCTTTAAATAAATCGTTCAATTTCTGGATTTATGACATTTTCTCCAAATTACCGGGCACCGTAGGTAGCACCGTCCGGATGTAGATGAACTGAAACTGATCAACGCCGTCTACGTCCGTCTAAAACGACATGGAAACAAACTGCAAAAAACCCTTTAGGCTTCCTTATAAGATACTTTTTTCCAGCCCTATTCGTATTAAAATTTTGAAATTAGGAACTACAATTCCGCTCATCCGTAAAAACACATGTGTCCATAGGGAAACTAATGGTACATACGTTGTTTTTAAACTGAGCGAGAAATTGTAGTGCCTAATTACAAATCGTCGGTGCAAGTCGGCAATCACATAACTCGGTTTGCGACGTCGAAGACTTCCTGTCATACTTTATTTTTTAAATGGAAAACTACTCAACGGCAGTTCTTTAAAACTGTCATGATTCTTCTTCTCAGTGCGAAGAAAATTCTGCAAAAACTTCAAGAAATAATGTCAATTTGCTCTCCTTCAAAAAAATGACGTACAGGCGGAGATTTTCAGACACCGCAAACGAGTTATGTGATTGCTGACTTTCGCCGTCGAAATGTAGTCTAAATTTACTCTATTGATATTTACTATGCAATATTACTTTTGCAGAAATTACAACCGAACCCCGACTAAAAAGGCGAGAAAATGGTGGTTGAAGAGACATCGGTTCAAGCCCCCTCGGCTGAGCGGCAGCAGGAAGACATCGACCACCTGATCGATTGGATGTCCAAGGAGGCGCATCTGCCCAAAGTCGACGACAGAGAGTGGCTTCTGACCGTCCTCCACCACAACAAATACAGTCTGGAGAAGACGAAGAACAAGCTGGAGAACTACTTCTCCTACCGGAACAAGTACCCGGAAGTCCTCCAGAACCGGGACCCCTCCGACAAGGACATCGCGCAAGCTCGGCTGGCATTCAACACTAGCAGTGCTGACAGGCTGACCAAGGATGGAGGGAGGGTCCTCTTCTGCAGGTATGAGTCAACGACCATCATGATTTTATACAAACAGGCTCACAGTATTAACAAACTCATTGCAGTGGACGAAAAAACACATTGGATCTAGAATCCAGACTCTTAAAAACATCGACAAGAAAAAATATTCTTGATTCAATCAGATTTAAGCTTAAATCAACCGAACCGAGCCTCTTAATTTGAGCGGATTTCTTTTTAATGGGCCTGTTGCAAACTTTTGCCAGAGCAAAAATAAGAGTTGTTTCCTGTAGATAATGCCTCAAAAACCACGATGAGCGCATCGGCAAAGTCTGAAATGCACTCATAACTTCACAATTTGCGTAAGAAATTTGCAGTTTTTTGAGCTTCCCGCTTCAAAAACGATACTACGGCACAGGTGAACATTTTGTTAGAGGAGTCGCTCCATCGTCGGCGATATTCATCATGGCCGACACTTGCGCGAAGTTTTGCGCGTAATTCGAGGAGAGTTCAAGATCAATCAAGGCGGGCGAGAAAAATATGAACGTAAACACGCCGATTGTTATCTGGTCTAGTCCTGTTTAGGTGTTATCTCGTCCCATCACACGTGTTTTGGTGGATTGGCGTCGGCCATGATGAGTATTGCTGACGATGGAACGACTCCTCCATCAAAATGTTCACCTGTGCCGTAGTATCGCTTTCGAAGCGGGAAGCTCAAAAAACCGCAAATTTCTTACGCAGACTGTGAAGTTATGAGTGCATTTCAGACTTTGCCAATGCGCTCATCGTGATTTTTGAGGCATTATCTATGAGAAACAACTCTTATTTTTGCTCTAGCAAAAGTTTGCAACAGGCCCATTTAAGCTTAAATCTGAATGAATCAAGAGTCCTTTTTCTTGTCAATGTTTTCAAGAGTCTGGACTCTAGATACAATGCGTTTTTCATCCAGTGTGCAGTGGACGCACGGGTCATTTAGACAGAAAGTTGGTGATGCAGCAAAAGTGCGTAAAAAAATGGCCTTGCTTTTCATCAATTTCATCTCCATTGCTATTTCTGTATTGTTTTCCATAGAACAATGCCTCGTCTAATGAACCAGGTCTAGGACTACGACGCTCAAGACCGTCCTCTGACTTTTTACATTTTTTGCTTCTTTATTCTAATTTTTTCTTCACGAAAAAGCAGAAGGAATACGTCAGGTCATGAAACATTTGAGAGATAATTGCAAAACGGCCAATGTTTTCCTCTTAACCCCTCCATGATTCAGCGTGAGACTAGAGACTCAAAAAATAAAAGTCGAGCTGCGAAGTATCCGTTGCAAATATTTGAAGGTCAGTTTTGAGCGAGATTACCATTTTTGGACTTGAAATTTACGACTTAAACAATTTAAAACAAACAACAATTTAAAAAATTTAATCGCATCTATTTTTCCCGTAATTTTTAACTTCATTTTATTCATCCTTTTTTTAATTTTCAGGTGATATTATTTGCAAATGACGCTGTAAAATGTACCCAACGCTTTGTGTATAGATCTGCCGAATCCTTTCAATCTGTTGCTCATCACATTTTTGCAGAAATTTTATTTTTATTATTTTATATTGTTTCCTCTATTATTTTTTTCATTTATACGTGCATTTATTTTATTTTAATTTTATTTAATTTTTGCACCTTTGTTTCAAAACGTCCACAAAACAATCAAACAAGAACTATCTTGACTAACCAAAATACTTATAGCGACAGGAAAGCTGTAAACGACAAATAGAAAAATAAGGGAAAACTATAGTCATATATTCCTACTGACCGATATAAGAGCAGTCATGTAAACTATTCGTCATTCTGTACTTTTCACTTTTTTGTGCGGGAAGAGAAACTGCTAAATAAGGAAAAATTCAGAAAGTCCCGGGGACACTATCCTTGTAAAGCACTGCGAAACATTTTACGGCGTGGTATTTTAACGGCCCATGTCCTGTTGTGCCAAATTCAAAAACCGATAAATCATTCGACGAAATTTCATCATTCTTTTTCCCTATACCTAATTGCTACTTACAGAAATTAATCTTTTTTTCCTTCCAGTGGACGCTTTAATATCAACCTGTTATGGAAGAGGACATTATGTGCATGAGTTGTGATTTATTACTCGGCTGGAAAAATATTTTTCAAATTATAGATTGTCAGCTCAACGCGAAAAAAGTGTGAAATCCCGTCATCTAAAAGAGAGATAGAGAAAGAGAAACTAAAACGAATTCAAAAACAAATTGCGTTGTAGAATATTTGGAATTTTTTATCGCGAGTTGCATCCTGAATAACTGCCTGTATTTTTCCATTTTCATAGCGTTGTGAAACTACACAAAACATGACTCTCCAACTAAAAGGAAACTTTAGTCGACCAAAATAAACACTCTAAAATGTCAAATTGAACCAAGGCTATGGTTTAGAAGTCTGCGGAGAGAAAGTTGTGCAGATATTAGCAAATTAAAAAACTTACTGAAGATTAGAGAACTACTTTAAATTCCAACTTTTCATTCCTAGGACACAAAATTGCCGACGCATTTAACTCAAAAGAAACTATAGCCGTTGTGACATGAGCCCTGTAGCATGCATTATCTTATGGATCTCAGGATTCATGCCACAATACTGCTGTGCCAAGGAGAAACGCCATATAGACCTTCTGGCGTTGCTGAATTTTCTTTGGTATGACACGAATTTCCTGGTAAACTTATGAATATTACTCTACCAATTATTCGAATAATTTTGTGCGCAATTTAACCTAAACCTCCTGAAAATGTCAAAGAAAAATATCCGCAACTTTATTAAAAAATAAACCCTGTGTTGAAGGAAATTCGGCAACTCTCGAATGTTCACACGGCGTTCTTCCTTATCCCGGTAGAATAGATTTAATGCGCTCAACTTACACTCCACCATTCTAATTGATTGAGAGATCGCATTTTACATCACTTATTAGTTGACTAGAAGAAAAATTATATATTGGCAGTGATGCAGAAAAGGTGAAAAAGTTTTACCTTTATTCCTCAATTCCAATGATAATTTTTAAACATTATTATGTTTTTTTACATTTGTGACGTGCGTTTCCTCAACGCGATATAATTACGGTATCTACGCCCTGATGATGCGCTTGGGCGCGAAATGATCATTGGCATTAAGGAATAAAGTTAACAAATTGTCCACCTTTTCTGCATCTCTGGCACACTGAAAAAAAAATCTCGGTGTATTTAAGAGAGGGGTAAAATTACCAAGAATTCAGGGTTCTATTTGATCCCAGTTTTTTCTTGGTAAAATTATCATTTATGGAATTGGTAATTTTACCGAGAAATCTCGGTAAAATTATTGAACTTTCTCGGTAATTTTACTGGACCTTGGTAAAAACGCCAATATTTTTTATTGACTGTGGTAGAATTACCGATGGCAAAGCTACCGGGAATTGATTACCAATAAAAGTGGTTTTCTTACCTGAAAAAAAACAGTAAAAATACCGGTTTTCAGGTAAGCTTACCAGTCTGTCTTGGTAAAATTACCAATAATTGGTAAAAAAGTGAGATGGTAAAGGTACCAACGGACCTTGGTAAAAACGCCGAGAATTTTTTTTCAGTGTGGCAATATATATAATTTTTCTTCTGATCCACCTTCGTAATTTTCGTTCTTTACAAATTTGCAGGTTCAGCCCGGACGCGAGCATATTCGACATCCAGAACTACCTGAAATACGGGGCGATGGTGTGCGACCTGAGCTACCTGGAGCATGACCGGCACGAGTACTGCATGTCGGTCACGGACCTCAAGGACTACACGTACATGCACTTCATGAAGGCGCTGCCGGGCATCAAGACCGGCGTCGACATCTTCTTCGGGGCCCTCTCCTTCCGACTTCGGGCTATTCACGTCATCAACTGCGCCCCCGGCCTCGAGAAGTTCCTCAATATCTTCAAGGGCTTCCTCCCGGCCAAGTTTGCCGAGAGGTTCTATGTCCATTCCTCCACCGAGGAGCTGCTCAAGTATGTTGATGAGGACGTTGTTTGCAGCGATTTTGGAGGCAAAGGACCCTCCCTCGCCGATTACGACAGTAAGTTTCTACTAATTTTCCGTTTTGTTTTACACATATCGTCACCCCCCTGACGTAAGGGCGTAGATCAATTTCCGCATGAGCCCGAGATAGCGTGGATTTATATGTAAATCAAGGTTCACGTGGAAATTGAGATACGCCCTTACGTCATAGAGGCGACGATGTGGACCGCGTTAAGAAGAAGGCAACCTAGCCACGTCAGCTATTGCTAAATTTAGTTGGACAATTTGATTTTTTACATGGAAACGATTGTGCGGGTATCTGTGCAAATTTAAGTGAATTTCCTGCGTACTACGAAGAAAATTCCTTGACATTTTGAAAGGGATCCGCACAAACGATCTCTTGTAAAAAAATTGTGCGAATATTTGCGCTTTAAGTGCATTTCCTGCGTACTTCGAACAAAATCCTTGAAATTTTGAAAAAGAAAAATATTCATAAGCTTACTAGTAAATTCGTGTTTTATAAATGGGAATTTGGCAACGCCTGAGGGTTCATACGGCATTTTTCCTTAGCACGGTAGTATCAGCATCCAGGACCGAGACCCTCGACTCAAATTTCTGAGCTTTTCAGGGCGTGAATTCTGCCGGAAAATTGTTCGCCATGTAAAGCCCACTAGATATCGAAAACTTCTGAGTCCCTACATTTTCTATTCGAGCATTGTAAAGGGAGGATACGAAAAGTATTTACGGAAGTCAACATTCGGATTCGTCTGACAATGATTGACGCGCGACCTGATGATTTTTGTAGCCTATTTATGACTGATGAACATAATTTTGGGCGGCCGGAAGGCGGAATTGTCAAATTAGGTCTTGTTCGCTTAACAAATTACTTAACAAGTCTCTCATCAATCGCCTCTGGGCCGAAAATAGTATCGATCTAGGGAAATCACACTCCGTAGGATGAAGAGCGTGAGGTCTTTGAAGTGTGTTCTCTCAGGCTTCATCCTTGTGTTTTATAATATAAAATGCACTGCATTTTGTAATGAGACACTGCTATTTCTTACTCATTTCACAAACAACGTATGTGCCATTAGTCTTTCTTGCCGGAAAGGTCTTTTTGTGGGTGAGATAGTAGCAGTAGTTCCAAATTGCAAAATGTAGTTTAATCGTCATTGATGAGCCTGATGTGAATTGCATCTACAGCATAAATGAAAAGAGTCTCTCGTGGGATAATGCAGTTTATTACGACGAATGACATGACGTTTAAAATTCACTCATTGCATTTTGATCTGTCTAGTAAAATTTTCAAGATTCCCGCCTCATACATGAATTTTGAATGTACGAAAAATACGCAATTTGATACACATGAGTTACCTTTACTTAGATAACTCTGCGCAAACTCCAAAATCCTTTTCAGCACACGTTTTCAAAGTACGTTGTTTCTCTACTGTTCGTTTTAATTTGAGGAACGGTTTGAAAAAAGGTTGTTATGTTTGAGTTCTGTAAGAAAGTGGCCAATCCTCGTAGTGTTTCTAAGACATTTGAAGACTCTTAAAATAACCAACACTGAGAAAACACATTTTTTGCGATGATATTTTGACTTAAACTTAAAGCGTCGTTCCTCGGCGACGAAATTAGGTTTTTTTCGTTAAATGCTTGCGGATTCAACTGAAAGTTAGCTTTTTAGTTAAAGAAACGTCATTATGTAATATTTCAGTTTAAGTTTAAAAAAAAAACGATAGCAAAACAACGCCTCTAAAAACTGACTTTCAGTTAAATCCGAACAAATTTAACTAAAAATCCTAATTTTGTCGCCAAGGAACGACACTTAAAGTTAAAATAATATCTCAAGTAAATAATTTGCCAGTGAATTTAAAATAAAATTATTTCAGAGACGTATAACACACGTGAAATAGAAGAGTCACCCTGACTTTTCCAAAGAGCCATCTAACATGTTTTGATGTAATTTTTTTCAGAATACACCGCAGAACTTCTGGAGAAACACCGGAAGTGGTTCCTAGAGCAGGACAACATGCTTGTAGACGACACTTTGCGACGAAAGGGTCAAAAGCAAGTCGAAGAAATGACAGGTTCCTTCAGAAAATTAGATGTAGACTAATTTCTATCTGCAGTGAAATTTCCAGCGCCAGCAGCTGTATTTATCTAAATTTATAATTTGGCAATGGAGGCAAATTTCACCTGCTAGATGTTCCAATTGAAATTTTAGATGCTTCTAGACTTTCATTCAGTATCTATTGATACAAAGCTTAAAAAGTTCATAGAGATAAAGTTATGTCAGTCGAGTAATTGTAATAGACTTCAGGCGATGGTTGGAATCATGATTACCTGATTAAAGGTCGCTTCGGTTGAAAACGAGAGTCTATGTTAGGACGAGTCTGTCATAATTCTGAAATTAATGTCTTATATCATATTTTCAACTGACTCAGGCAAATTTAAAGAGGAGAGGGGACGAATTCAATGCGGAGATAAACTATTTCAACCCAAAAATTTCTGCAAAAAAAATGGTTATATGATATGTCTTGTTTGCCTGGAATAGTTGTAAATATGCTTCAGTTAGGGACTTAACTTTATGGTGAGCGACCTTGCGTGAGCGAATTGAATTATTATTTTTTATTTTTATTTTTAACTGAAAATTCAAATGGGAGACTAAGACTTTATTGCTGTGAAAAATTTGTATTATAGGTATGAGTATGCTCTACTACTCATTTGTAACATAATGTATATATATAACACGTCGAATGTGTTTTCCTATGTATATTCTAGTCCAAAAGACGTTTAAAGAATGAAATAAATGAAAATATAAAATAATGCCCACGGATTCTTCATTATGAAACATGTTTTAAGTCTACTGGTGCTAATTTATGGGTCATGGAAATAGTATTTTGTTTCCCGAGCCAATAAACGTCGGACGAATGAAATGGTCCGACAGTGGATGCAAACTTTCAAAATATAATCTCATGAGTAATTTATTTCCGCGAATTGCGCTTTAGGAAAAAGCCTACGAAGGATTAACTGGGAAATTAAGTTAATGTCCGAAATACCAAAAATGTGAGATCATTCCTGTGCAAAAATTCAGTTTTTGAGCAGAGGGCGTTTTTAGTTGAAAAAATCGTTGAATGCATGAAGAACGAGGAATCAGTGCTGAACATTGGCCAAAAATGTTTATATTTGAAGGTCTGAAGTGGACACTCGAAATCCACCCTATTAAAAACTAGACGGATAGGCTTAATTCATTCTATGTCAACCAAATTTTCCGTTAAAGAGTGATATACCATTCCGGTTTGTAAATGTGGATAAGAAGCAGAGATTTGTGTTTCGTTGCTTTAAGTGGTAACGGTTCGGTACGAAAAAAGACTCACCCCGATTTTTCTCACATTAGAAAATATGAAATATTCATAGATAACCGCTTTGCATTTCAATGGTTATTCGCCCTCACCTGGTTTTCCCCGATGTTTCAGAGAGCGCCAACGTAAATCACAGAGCTTTGAAAATGCGTACTCTGGAAAACTTAATTTTAAATAGAGCTGCTCGAACACATTTACAAGATTTCATACGAGTTTTAACTTTCAAGAAAGTCTTCAACATAAAAAGGCACTGACCCCCTCCCCCAAACCAAAAGTGACATCCTCAGAAAATATGCTAAAAAAGAAAACGAAACATTACTCATATTTTATTATTTGTAAGCCCTCCAAGTTGAACAAGTATCATTGGCAATAATTTTAAAAGAGGAGGTAGTAATCCAGGGTTTAAAAATACTTTTAGCGATTAAAAGATCGTTGCAAAACAAGTAAATCCTTATTTGGGTGTGTCCCAATGCAAATATTATGTTTGGCAAAAATAGCGTTTTAAACAATAATTCAGAACGAAATATTATATTTGCTGACATTACTGATTTAAAGCAACTTTCCAAAAGAAGAAAAAGCTTTGTAGGTGTCTATATAGAAAAAAAATAAATAATAAAAAATCTTTGACGTTCCATGAAATAGGAAATATTGTCACATGTGTGTCCATTGCCAGCCGGTTGAACTGCACTTATTTGGGAGTGTTAAAAAATTTACCTTGACCTTCACCATTATCTGCAGTTATGTTATGAGTACGCCTTCTTATTTACGTGTTTTTCCGAGCGTCACCCAGGACCTTACCATTCTAGACACGTTAATCGATGATTCACTGCAGGAAATGTTCAAATAATTCGAATGCAATCTGAAATTCCATCCTACTGAGGTAGAGGTTTCTTTATGTCAACGCCTTTGGGAGTATTTTATGATAGCGTCAAATTGGTGATCATTGCCACATTGATTGTAATTTGCTTTATTTCTACAAACCTGATTAATATTTCGAACAAACTTGACCGTTTAATGTGATCGAATGTAATATGCAATGTCAAACTTGACCTGCGTTTAGGCATTTTAAAGAACCGTTTCCTAAATTTTCCTCGAGTTAAAGTATATGGCTAATCAAGTCAACCCTACAACACTGCTTTGCTTCGGAATGACATTTGAGCCTTTGGACGTTGCCAAATTTCCCATAGTAAAATATACATTATCCAAGAAACCTGCGCATATTTTTTTTTAATTTTTCAAAGAATTCTACTCGAAATCAAGTTTAAAGTATCTGAATATTTCAAAAAACATTATTCATATAAGTCTCCCAAAAAAATAAAAATTTTATCAGAGGAAATTTGGCAACTCGCGAGTGTTCATACTGCGTTCTTCCTTAGCATGACAGAGCTTGTCTCTTTGTCACACGACATGGCTTGGAAACATTAATTGCTTTTTGATTAAAATTTTTTGAAAAATTAACTAACTTGCGACGAAATTCTTTAGTATCTACGGACAAGTTTCAAGCTACGTATGAGCCGTAGCTCGAAACGCATCTGCCGATACTAAAGAATTTCGTCGCAAATGACTTAAGGGGACAGTAGTAGTGCATTAGTATTAATCAAAGCTGACCAGAATTGGCCATAAAAAAAAGGTCAAATTTAAAATTTAGGAGGGTGCTCTCTTCGAACATCCTGAAAACAGAGTATGTGCGGAAATGTTGAAATGCAGATACCGACATGAGATTCGTGGGTGCGTGGTTTTAGGATTGAGTCATTGAACTGGGCACCCACACAAAGCGAGGCCGTGGACAAGGTGATGGAAGGGGTCTCGCGAAGGGATGAGCGAGAATACGGACACATGCTCCATTTAACCGGAGCCGCGGTTTTCGGGCCTCATCTCAGACGACCCCCAACTCCGAGGCCTCATAATTCCGAATCCGGAGCTAGCAAGGATCCCACTCCGTCGCTCCTCCGACGTAAAGACGTAACTGCAGTTTAAGATGAGCCTCAATGGCCGTATCACTCAATGCTCTCCAAGACTCACGCGGCAATCGCGATACTTCTTTCGGCCAGATTAGTGATGACTGGAACAAGCTACACGCGCGAGGATAACAGTTGCGAGGCGTGAACTATCGATTATCGATACTCCCCCATTTGAAGCTATGATAAAGAATCGATTATTAAGGTGTTCGTTGCGAAAACCCTGTTCATCGATCCGTTTCCTTAGGTTTAAATGGCAGATCAATCGATATATCGCAAAGCACGCCGCGCCTCAGGTGGATAATTTTGTGGCCTGCGAGAGGAGTGTTGCCCGTCCGCGACCCTTCAATTTTCAGTCGAGTCTGCATTATCCGCGATCCTCCGGACAGGAGCGGGGATGTCGCGCTTAATCGGAAATCACAATAATGGCGATTCCTACGTGTCAACTACGGAGGGACTCCTCCCCCAAATATTTTGGAACAAATTATCACTTTTAATTTATAATGATGACTGAAGTAAAATATAGAAGAGACCATGCGCAATAATAACCCGAATGATTCGATGAAAACATACACTGGGCGAACAAAGCATTTTGTAGTATCAACCTCCTCGTCTACCGAGAAATATAAAAATGAAATTGAGATGTATATCTTCTATACTCTATCCTTTCATTAATTTTCACCGACGAGAGTCCGGGTATTTCACTTTTTTGTTAATTTTAAGTTTACTTTTCTGCTTCTGAGATCTGAATTGGAAAACAGAGATAACATCAACATTTTCGCGTAGAGTGTAACGTAGTGTGGTTTTAGGCAAGATTTTTTAGAGGCCATATCAGTAAACACAAATCATTGACTGGATACATATTACTTCGCGGAGTATGTTTTGTGGCCTATCACGAAAACTTAAGGCGAAATAAAAATGTGTGTCTACCATGCCGTTTTCATGTCAACTCCGCCTCCACTTTTTGAATTTACAAACCCTCTAGCCTGCGGTGTTTTGACTTTTACACTTTTTATTGGTCCATTCTGTCCCGAGAAAACTGAATTTGTCGTTTTTTGGCAATAGCTTGCTGAATGATTATCCGAAAAAAGTTTCTGTGCTACTCACCGACTTGTCTTTCTTCTGTTTAAAAGAGAAGTTTCTCGACCTCTCGATTTCTTACCTGAAACAAAAACAGAATCTTCCATTAGAACAAAGCAAAATCGTTTTGAAAATTTTGATTTCAAGTAGTCATAAATATGAATGAAAGTTCGGGGAAAAAGAAATCCCACTATCAAAAACTAAAAGTCAAAAAAAAAAAAAATATGTTGGACGTGAAGACAGCCTTTTAAGCAGTGGCTTATCGACGAGTACAACTTCAAATCTCTTCTTTTTGGTTCATATTTCATGCAATTTGCAAGACTGTCATAGACTTCACAAAATTAAATTTTCTTTGATTTCCTTGATTTCCTTGACTCATTTGGATGCAATTTCCTGACGATTAAAGAAAATTCAGATGCTTCCGAGGATATCATTTGAAAACATGTTCATGCAAAATGTATTAGGCGACACGTCAAACCCATTTTAGAAAGAAAATAGAGGTGATTTACTAATTTCTCCCTAGCACTTATGTCACTTTCCCTGATATTTTCAGGTTTTCTCTGATATTTCAAAATTCATTGAAATATCTCGGTTTTTTTTTGTATTCCCCAACGGTGGCAATCCTGTTTTTGGTGCGTTTCTGTTAAACTCGATTCAAATGCAGTTAGGTTTATTCCACTTAAATTCGTCCATTCAGTTTTACAAGTTGTTATACCTCTGTTCTTCGACAATGGGCCCGTTGCAAACTTTTGCTAGAGCAAAAATAAGAGTTGTTTCTTATAGATAATGCCTCAAAAATCACGATGAGCGCATCGGCAAAGTCTGAAATGTACTCATAACTTCACAGTCTGCGTAAGAAATTTGCGGTTTTTTGAGCTTCCCGCTTCAAAAACGATACTACGGCACTGGTGAACATTTTGTAAGAGGAGTCGTTTCATCGTCGGCAATAATCATCATGGCCGACGCCAATCCGCCAAAACACGTTTGATGGGACGAGATAACACCTGAACTGGATTAGACCAGATAATAATCGGTGTGTTAACGTTCATATTTTCCACGCCCGAATTGATTGACCTTGAACTCTCCTCGAATTACGCGCGGAACTGCGCGCAAGCGTCGGCCATGATGAATATCGCCGACAATGGAGCGACTCCTCTAACAAAATGTTCATCTGTGCCGTAGTATCGTTTTTGAAGCGGGAAGCTTAAAAAAACGCAAATTTCTTACGCAGATTGTGAAGTTATGAGTGCATTTCAGACTTTGCCGATGCGCTCATCGTGATTTTTGAGGCATTTTCTACAAGAAACAACTCTTATTTTTGCTCTAGCAAAAGTTTGCAACAGGCCCATTCGCGACTGGGAATTAACGATTTTGATCAAATGAGCAGATTATCGCAGACTTTTCCAGTGCAAATGCTTCAATGTCT